AGAATAAATTACATTTTCTTGTGTGATTTCATTTTTCTTATTTTAATTAATATACATTTTTAAAATTGTGTAAGTGCATTACATTATATTCTTACATTTCTGAAGTGTCCATCAGTTAAACATTCATAACATTAATAGTTTTCAGAGCAAAAGAAAAAAAATGTTGTTAAACAAGACTTGTTTTTATTTAAATTCATTATTATTTGTGACTTAAAATAAACAGTGAATGTATCTTTTTGTTCCCTGTAGAGGACAGTATTATGGTGCCAGCATATTTTGTTTTACCTTTTGGTTTGTGAGTGTTTAGTTAATATTTTTGCTATTATTTATTTTAGGCTTTTATTATTGGATGTTCTCAAGTAATGTTTTATACATTATTATTTGTTATTAATCTGCTTGGGATGATTTCCTACATGGAATGTGTGGTGTGCGTGTAGTTCAGCTTAGAGACAGATTTTGATTTTCTTTTGTTTGTGAATATGGTGTGTTGCACAGGAAGCAACTTTCTAAGAAGAAGTCGTGGGCCTGTGTGAAATGTTCTAGTTTCCATACTGTATTTCTAGGGATATGGTAAAGTAGATAATTTTTTTTATTTATAAGTTTTTATTAGTATGGGCTAATTTTGTCAATGCAACTCAAGTTTTAAACTTTGTGTTGGCTGGTATCCCATTTAATGCCCCTCCCCCTTTCCTCCAGCCTGGCATAATTAGCAAGTCAGATTACTGTCATGTTACTGTATGTCTGACTGGGTAGTTTGTGAGTACTGGTACTGAAAGTGTGTAGAGTGATGATAGAAAAGTGTTATACTTTTCTTATATTGTAACCCTGTAAACAATTGTATTGTCTGGTATATGTAAATAAATGACGTATTAAACTGTGGGTGAACAAGTTTCATTTTTAGTTTAATAGTGTGTTGTTTCAGTGTGTAATTGGTTCGCCCAGGTTCGGTAAACTCCTTGTCCCAACGAGAATGCTCAGATGGGAGAATAAGGTCACCATCTCAGTCCACACCCCTAACATATATATATATATATATATATATATATATATATATATATATATATATATATATATATATATATATATATATTGTATATAAATTATATTTCGTTGGGACGGGGATAACGTGTTTCAAGGGGGGGGGCACCTCCGAAGAGAGGCCTGAAATAAACTGGTTGCAGGCTTTTGGAGTAGGGCAGGGGTCTCTAAACTACGGCCCGCGAGGTCCTCTCATCCGGCCCGCGGAGATCTTTTTGTCCACGGAAAAAACGTTTGTTGGTGATGGCTGAAGAACTTTGCTAAGAAAAATCAAAGACATGCCAGGAAGAAACTGGATCCCGAACTGAAATTTGATAGTTAATGCGGCCCTCGGACTGAAAAGTTTGGAGACCCCTGGAGTAGGGGAAGAGGCAAGAGTTTCTTTCAGGCATCCCCACCAAAGCAAGTCCACCCCACCCCCGGACGAAATAGAAAAAAAAATTATATAGAAAATATATATACCAGAATCCTCCCCCCCCCCCATCCAAAAATATAATAACTTAGGTTAGGTTAGGTTTGCCAGTCGCCCCTTCTGGGACATAGGCCACTGACAAGAGCTTTTCTGGCATCTCTGTCCTGGGCTAGTCTCTCCAACTGTCCCCAGGTGTCCTGGGCTAGTCTCTCCAACTGTTCCCAGGTGTCCTGGGCTAGTCTCTCCAACTGTTCCCAGGTGTCCTGGGCTAGTCTCTCCAACTGTTCCCAGGTGTCCTGGGCTAGTCTCTCCAACTGTTCCCAGGTGTCCTGGGCTAGTCTCTCCAACTGTTTCCAGGTGTCCTGGGCTAGTCTCTCCAACTGTTCCCAGGTGTCCTGGGCTAGTCTCTCCAACTGTTCCCAGGTGTCCTGGGCTAGTCTCTCCAACTGTTCCCAGGTGTCCTGGGCTAGTCTCTCCAACTGTTCCCAGGTGTATCCAATCTTCTTGGTGTATTCTTCCAGGTCATGTCTCTATGTCTTTCTTGGTCGGCATCTTTTCCTTTTGTCATGTGGATTCCAGGTGACGGCCTGTCATGTTATGCCTTATGTAGAGATTAGCCTATGTGTTTCTGTGTTTAATTTTTTTTTGACTAATATAAAACGAAATGTAATTTAGGTATCATCGGCCAATTTTCCCTTTTGATTAATATATTGTTAATACAGTTTATAAAGTTAATGGTGTAAAAAGCTATATTTTTAAAAGCTTGAAAAAAAAATATAGGCGAGGCACTGCAGGTGACAGGGGACAGTGAGGAATTGAGGAACATGATCAACAATACACTTGTGGCACACTAATTGTCTGAGGTACCTAACTTGCATTAGGGAAAGTAAATACTATTGGGCATAGTGCTGACCACAATGTCGCAGAAATAAGTGAACTCTTACTTCAATTGCCCCACGGCTTGAAAAGGGAACTTAACTTGATGTCAGGCTGGTCTCTTTGTTACGTGGGGCTAGAACAACGAAAGTTAGCTTGGTATCTTGATGCTATTCTGGTAATTTATTAATTCAGGCTACTAAAATGAAAAAAATAAATATGCCAGGTATAATAATGGCTGATGACTCGATGTCAGACTTGTACTTCTACTATGGCGTAACAACATCATTTTGATTTGTCAGACTGGTGCCTTTATTAGTCATATTGCACCTTGATGCTATACTTCTAGTATGATAACTAGGCTGGTAGAGTTATCTTACGACACGTCACTGGTACATTAATAAAACAAAACTGACCATGAAAAAGCTACGCTGATAAATCGATGTCAGATAAGTATGGTAATAAATCTGACTGGTCCCTGTATGTGTATTGGTCAGGTATACATTGAAAAAATCAGGCTAGAAGACTACCAGTGTTTCTTTCAGACTTTTTTTTTCTCCCGGGGGGGGGGGGGGTCCCTTGACATTTTCGGGGGGGGGGGGGGGGGGGGGGGGGGACACTAGTAAAAGTGCGTGTTTACTATATAAATTCCTTCTCTGGGGCGGTAGACTTTCTTCGAACCCCCCCCCCCCCCCCGAAGAGATGCCTGGAAGAAACTCTGAAGGTTGCTTTGATTTCAGGTAAGTAGGTCCTATTTTGATGGGCCAGGATTTTACTTTGATGTCAGACTTTTGATAAGTAAGACTAGTTATTTCATGTAACAAAAGTACCATAATAAGTCAGACTGGCATCTAGATAAGTTTATGTGGCACATTGGTGTGTCAGGCTGCAGTCTTAAAGTCAGCACTGTTATTGTTAGCATTATGGTACATCGATATTAAAGACAGGCATACTAATGTCAGGTTAATAGGCCTATACAATATTAAGTAGTGTCACCGTTATATTTATTAAACACAATATTTGCTAATTTATTATTCACCTATTTAAAGCAAGTGTACTAAATAGGCTTACACACTCTCAAGATAACTAAACTGCCATTCCTGCATAACAAGTAAAAATACAGCACTCTTGCAAACCTGATGACCAAAGGGCAGGTAAATTAGAGTCCACCTGTTTCTGTGACCCCAGCAGATGAGGGATAGTTTGGTCATCACCATGCCTTTACTTTCCATAATGTATGTCTGATACTAATCAGAGTTGGGTGGATTCAGGAATGTCTTACAGACTAGCAATCTCAACTAGACAACTCTCAGATTAGCAGTTATACACTTTACTTATTGACCAAACCATGCCATCACATAATGAGATTTTCTTTATAGAATTTACTTTCTTTAATAATTGCTACTTTCATACATCATTATCTGTGCATTTATAAACTTAGGCCAAGCAGCTCTGGCTAAATAAAGTTAAATAAATTAACAAATTACTGCCCTTTTGCCAAATGGTTGTAGTGTGCAGACTGATATAGTTATAATTATCTGAATGATTCATTTTGTCATTGAGATTTTCAGTGTCACAAAAAAGTGAAGACAGTCTTTCTGTGGCTAAACACTTTAATAAAATCACAACCTGGCTAAACTCAGAAATACATATGAATCTATGCTTTAGCACTAAAGCTCTGATTTATTTAAGACAACCAATATATTGTTGAAATTATATAGGAATACCTAGTATTTAGTTGGGACCACATTATTATTATATGTTAAAAGCAAGTTTTCTTGTAAAGTGTTGTTGCAATTATCGCTGCTTATTTCTCATTAAAAAAAAAACACTAAATAATAAGATAAACCAGTTTGTAATTAAATATATTATGTAATTCATACAAAGTTTAAAGATAATCTCATAATTTGAAAAAAAAAATATACCAAATTAATACCAATATGTTTAATTGCATTTTGAAAATCTATTAAAAATAAAATATAAAGTAAAATTAGTTTATTTCTGTTTAAAATGTGATAGGAGGCTTAATCAACTCTGAAAAATAACTAAAGTAGCCTTTATCGCCTGAGTATAATATTACAGCTATAAGCAGGAAATATACTTAGAAAAATACATAACATAGAAAAATCATTAGAATTTTTAAATATGTGCATCTTATAAATTGAGGAAAATAAAGTTCTAAAAAGAAAAGCACTTTAAATTAACACATTTCTTCAAAACTTGTTGCACTCATTTAATTCAAGTATGTTTATTAAGTAATTAATAATTTTACATTTTGTCACATGAGGAAATTAAATTGACACTCAGGTGATGTTGAAAAATTTGAGCATGACTTAAAATAACAATGAACACATCTTCATTTTCATTTGTATCAGACTTGTTCCAAGAAATATTTCTTCACTAGGCCTGAATTTCCTTGCATTACATTTGATATTTACCATTTAGATACATTTATTTTCCAATTAAAGTCGGTTGCCTCTCAGAATTCATTGAGATAATGGACACAATCAGAGAACTAAATACAAGGTTTAAGGCTAAACTTTTGCTAACTTAACTAAACAAGACTATTCAATTTATTACATTGAAGTTATATGATCAAACATATTCAAGCCTGTTTGTAAGAACAGGGGAACTGCTGCATAAGTATATTGGTTGTTTTATTATTTCAAGTATATTGGTTGTTTTATTATTAGTGAAGTTTTTAAAAAACCCAAAAATACATTTAACATGCCATTATTAATTTTCAAATTAAACTTTTTACCATTTGTAAGAAAAGGAATAAAGTACATTTATTCTGCATTTAAGACAATCAGATACTGTGGATATGCTTGAGCATCACTAAAAACCATAAAAGTATCACCATTGGATGTATAGTGCTGTGTAAGTGTCCCGGGCTCTTGACCAGATTCCCCAAGACAAACAATCACTTTGAACAGGAAGAAGGATTTGTCTTTTTTAAAAGACACATTGGATAATAACTTATTTAGATCTTTATAGAATAGGACACCCTTTCCTAAACTGTTTAATTCTGAAATAAAAATTGTAACCAATATTTAAAGTCAATTAAGTTTGAGCCACTATAATTTAGTAATAAAATTTTAAAAATTCAGTAAATAAAATAAAAATATTAATGAAGATGATCTGTGTGTATTGTTATATAGTAACATATATACATATATATACATACATATATATAATACCTACATACATAGGACTATATACAATTATGTACATACATATATATATATATATTTATATATATATATACATACATATAAACATATATACATGCATAATAATTTAAAAAAAAATTATTTCAATATCAATATTTACCAGCAGGTACGCCACAAAAAAGGGGATGAAAACCAAATTCACAGACTAGTAGAGACGTTTGTTGTTCTGACACAAAGTGCCACATATTTTTTCTTCGACTTATTTGTCCATGTTTAACTTTGAAGCGTTGATACAGTGCAAAGTTCTGCACTCTGTGAACCTGAGAGAATAAAAGTTCTATAAATCAATAGATTTATTACTTTTAATAGCAATGCTTTCATATGTAATTCTTTATCTTTCCCATCTCTCCCCAGAAAATGCTGACAATTGCTTTCTTTTCTTTAAATTGTGATTAATATTTTCTGTTGTTGGGTGCTGTCCATTCATAAATGGAAAAAAAAAACTATTTATAAAGATTTTTTCTATAAAATCTGTAAGTCTAAAAACAAATAAAAGAGAGCCATCTAAGTTGTTATTACTATTATATATTTAATTTATGTAGTCACATTTTACAATGCTTTTAGATCTAAATGAATTGTAAATTGGATAATATTAACAACATGGACACTTAAACTTATTTCTATTTGTTCTGTAGGCACACAAAGAATATAAACATTTTACTTGAACACATTCTAAGTTTAGCTGTTCAAGATCTCTCTTTCTGATAACTATTTTCAATGTAATATTACAATACTGTGGCATATATTATAATTAAAGGTTCTTGCTTACTTTGAACAATAATGTTCAAAAGAATATGAAATAGCATGATAATACCCTAAAATTTGTTTTTAATTAAATTAATCATAAGAGTATACATGCTAAAATAAACTCTTACATCAACAACTTCAATTTTTAGCTCTAATCCATCTTCATTCTTTACTGAAGCTAGATCTTTCAATTGTTTCTCAATATCTAAAAATTCTTTTTCTGTTTTATCCAGCCTCACCAACTTGCATCCTTCATCTTCTTTTGATGTCCAGGTTGAAGGCACCTCAATTTGATTAGAAACTATATAACGAAGATAGGAACGTATTTAAAACTACATACAATAAATAGTATAAACAAATACATATTGTTAGACTTTTTCTCTTATATTTTTCATGATGAAAAGGGAATGTTTTAATTATGGATTTTTTATATTTAAGCTCTTATAATTGTTAAATGACTTTAGCAAAGAAAATATTTTAACAACAAATTTCCTACATGAATTTATTAGAATGCTCATAGCTTAAATTGCTATGGGCTTAACACCATATTTTTTAATGAAAAAAGTTCTTATGATATAAGGACTGTAAAAGTTATTGAATATGACAAATAATTTTATAAATTCAAAAAATTGGAATCATGTGGAAATTATATATAACTAATAAAAATATGCACTGTGCTATCTGCTCTGCAAGTGTTAACAAAACCAATTATATCATAACAATTAATGGAAGCAAATATCAATATGTAAATCAACAGTGATATAAAAAATAATTCAACTTACTATCTATTATTTCTGAGCGTATCAATCCTTTCTTTTCTTTGTTTACAGTTACATGCATCTCGCTTAAGTTAAAATCATAATCTTTAATATTGATATAAGTTGTATTTTCACTGTAGGCTTTCTCAACTTTCTGTTCTACATCATCTGGAATATTTGTGAATAGAATTCTGCTTCTTGAATCTGATTCATCATCTTCACACTTGTCTTCCATCTTCCAACAAAAACATTTTTCTTTACTCTGTAATTTTTGTTTTCCTCCTTTTTGTTTTTCTCTAGCTGTTTCTGCACCAGCATTTTTTGCCGGATCATTTGCTGGATCAGAGAAATGCATATTCTGTAATCCTTTTTCAATATCATCCACACCACTTACAACTGCTGGGTCATGTTTATCAACTGATGATGATTTGACAGAAAATTTATTTTTAAAATCTTGTACAACTTTTCTATTCAGTCCTTGAATACTAAGTGTTCCTTTAACTTCATATTCTGGTTTCATTTTACATTCATTACTTTTTTTACTTTTTTTGTCTTTATTCCTTTTTTTATGTTTATTCTTCTTCTTTTTGGCTTGATTTTGGTCTTTTTTGTCAGAAACTTTTTCAACAGTTCTTTTAGTACAAGTTATCAATACATGTAGATTAGTTAATGCATTCTTGGAATTCTGAAAATATTTTTTAAATGTATAAAAAATTATTTTCACTTTTGTTTTTAAATATAAAATCAAATTTAAATTACAGGAAAATATCAAATTATTTTAGTACAATAATTATTTGGGGTAAATTGGCAATCTTTTTTTAGATTTGAATTTTCATTTTTTAAATTTAATATTAAAATGTTTTTTCACTTACATTTTGTTTTATTGACAAGTTTATTTAAAGTCATGTAGATTATTCTTTTATAGTCTTATGATTTTCATCTATACTGAAGTATAATCTTATGTATAAAGGTTCAACTACTGCATCCTTTTAAATATTGTTTATTACTAAGCACTAATAGTAACACAGTGAATGAATTAATTTTACATAAATTTTCCATTTGCATATGAAGCACTAAGATGTCAGCCATGTTCACACAAAACTAAGTAAATTATTAGACATCTAAGTAAATATGTACATATTGTTGATGATTTCTGTTTGAGTGTACATAGTTCAGCTCCTTTCAATCTCTGAAAATTTGTAATCACTACTTTATATATACATTACTTAATAAAGCATTTAAATAAGGTCACACTCTCCATCATCTTTAAAACCGGTTTGAAATGCTACAGTCAGTAGAAAAATATTTAGATTCAGTAGAACACACCTGGAAAATATGTAAGTAAGCCACTGTTGATGCCTGCAAGGAGGTGCTAGGAAGAAAAGCGCCCAACAGGAAGCTTTGAGCCCTGGATCACAGAAGGTGGAAGAAAGAAAGAGGCTAAAGAGCGAGCAAAATCAAACAAAAACACAGCAGCAGAAGCAAGCTGAGGCCACTGGATATAACGAGAAGGCTAAAGAGGTGAAAAGAAAACTAAGAGATTGTTTATAAAAGTAGTGGCAGAGTAGGCCAAAATAGCTTCCAGTGAGATCTAAAGATGCTCAATGCAACAACCAGAAGTTTGATTGGGAGGAAATCTTAACAGGCCAGGGAGGAACAAAAATGGTAAATTTCTAGCATCATGGAGAGTGCACTTCCTGGGAGTAGAGCCAATCACCACAAGACCCATCAGACCTCTAGCCAGGGGACCCTTTAACATCAATACATCAAAGAAATCAATAAGCAGAAAATTTCTCAGGAAATAGTTTGAAGAGTGGCAGGCATCAGGACCAGATTAATATCCCAGCAGAGGCATTAAAACAAGGCGGAGAAGAAGTAGTAAATTGATTTCATAAATTACTTAACTTAGTCTGGAACACAGGACAGATCCCAACCAACTGGAAGAAGGGCATCCTTGTGAAGTTGCCTAAGAATGGTGACTTATCTCAGTATGGAAAATGGAGGGGTATTACCTTGTTGTCCATCCCAAGTAAAGTCCTTTCCAGTCATTTTGGACAGAATGAAGGAAGCAATTGACCTTAAGCTAAGAGAGGAACAAGCAGGGTTTAGGAAGGAAAGATCTTGTACAGACCAGTTAGCCACTCTTACAATCATTGTAGAACAGACGATAGAATGGCAAGCCCCGCTTTACATCTGCTTTGTTGAGAAGGCCTTTGATGGTGTGGATAGGCAAACAATATGGAATCTGTTGAGACACTATGGTGTACCTGCTGCAAGACATGCAGGAAAAAGTGATGTGTTAGCAGCTACCTCACAGCATGTAGGTCTCAAGACCAACACAGGAAAGACAGAAGTAATGAGAATCACCAATAACCAGGAGGCCCCAGTAACAATAGATGGAAGACATGTAGATGAAGTGGAAGAGCTTGTCTATCTTGTCAGCAAGATCAGCCAATCAGGAGGCACAGAGGGGGACAAATGTGCCTGAATTAATAGAGCTGTAATGCTTTCACAGTTTTGCAAAATTCTCAAAAATTCAAATGTCAAGGCAGTTTTGTTATATGGAGTGGAGACATGAAAAGTCTCCAAGAATGGTACAGACAGGTTATAGACCTTCATTGATAAATGTCTCAGACATAAAAAATTAAAATTACCTCAAACTTTTTTATTTCGGCACCATCTAATTCAATGACCTCTTCATTTTCTGCCATTAAATTAGAAAGTTTATCTGTAAGAGCATTTAAAGCTTCATTTATTTTTTCCTCACATGTCCCCAAAATACAAACTTCAGTTGGAGGAAAATTGTTTCTGATAATCTTTATATCCTCAGCAGATGCAGATGGTTCAACTTCTATCAAAATGCAAACATCATAAATATTACATTTGAATGTAATTGCTTAAGCATAGATGTAGATCAAAATACTTTTCTTTGCCAAGCTTGAAATGATATAATGGCAATTATTTTCAGATTATTATAATTAAAAATTTATTGCAAAATAAAAGTACATACCTCCATCTTCACTGGACCACCATTCTTTAACTTTAAAAACTAGAAAAACAAATTATAGGTATAAAAAACTGTTTAAATTAAAAATACTGCACACATTATACATACATATATATATAAATATATATATATATATATATATATATATATATATATATATATATATATATATAAATATATATATATATATATATATATATATATATATATATATATATTGATATATATAGATATTGATATATATATATGTATTTACATATGTATATATGTATACATATATGTGTATATACATATATATGAACCTAAAAATGTATATGTAAATACATATATATAGGTATATACATATACATGAATATATATACATATATTTTTGAATATGTTACGGCCAAAGCCTGAAGTCGGCCAAAGCACGCATTGCCCGGCCAACGCGTGCAATATCGCCTCCTATTGACCGGTCAAAGTCTGAAACTTTACTTGATTTCGGCCTTCGGCCGGCCAATCCGTGGACTGGCCATGGTGGACGGGCCAGTCGGGATTAGAAGATCATCTGGCTAGGACGACCGGCCAAAGTCCAAGATCATGGTCAGATTTTGGTTTTGTTTTATACCGCAAGGATCATAAAAATTAAGTTTTTGTAAATACATATATATATATGTATTACATATACATAAATACATATAAGCATGTGTATATACATATATATATATATATATGTACATATATATATATATATATATATATATATATATATATATATATATATATATATATATATATATATATATATATATATATATATATATACTTGAGTCTATATGACATCCCTGTGTCAACCCAGCCAGCTCTGAAGGGTACCCAACTTGATTAGATAGGCATTGTGTTTCTAACTAAACTATTATTTCTTATGTTGAAGAGAGAGAAACAGATGAACTCTACTTCATCTACTAATGGACTTTATGACCTAAGCATTTTCTTAAAACATTCACAAAATTAAACTTTAATTAGAAAAATGTTGTGAACATATAAAAATTACATATAAGATTGTGTGAAGGGGATTGAAATTATGAATAAATCTCTGATATTCAAAGTATTCAGAAAACAAATGACAAATGTCTTGCTTAGAAACTACGTTCAGGATAATTAGTTTTTTTTTAAAAGAAGTAGGTACAAACTTACACCCTTTTTCCAACAAAGTCAGTTTTTTTTTCTCCACTTCTTTAGGGCATCGTTTTTCAAGTTCCTCCTTGAATGCCTAAAATAAATTTAATTGCAAAAAGCCCTGATGTATCTTTTCCAAGTACACTGCTCAATTTTCGACAGTGTTAAACTGTTTAGTACAATTCTTGAGTCATTCATATAGTTTTCAATTTTCTATTGAGTGCTTCTCTAGATGACAGAAGAGGAATACCCAAAAGGTAGGGAATGTGGTAGGACCAAATTTGGAACCAGCTGCCTAGCATGTAATAGAGAGATCCACAAAAGCTAGGGAACTTTACCCAAAAGGTAAGGCCGCTGACCTGCGAGGTGAAAAGTGCATCCCCCTTCTTCTAAAAACCCGGATTATTAAACAGATACAAGACCAAAATCACAACTAAAATCGTCCAAACCTTTGTAACTAGCTGCCTTACAAAAAACTCAAGATCTGCTGGCCCAACACTATCAGCAACAAAAACATTTGGGAAAAGACTGGGCAACTTTCATCTAATAAGAAAATTCGGAACAGAAGATGGAATTGGACAGGGCAAACCCTACACAAACAACTAACTAGTATCACCAGGCAGGAATTAAAGTGGAATGCCAAAAAAGGCTGACCAGACCTTGCAGTTGATACCACAAAGATGGGCTAAACATGGAACCAAATAGAAAGAATGACCGAGGAGCAAGGACTCTTGACATCCGTGGGTGTGAGCCCATACCCCAGCAGGAGTGAAGGGCAGTATGTAAGTAATCTTAAAGTTATTTATTTTTCTAACATAAATATAAAAACAGTAATAGGCTAATAATTAAATTGAGAATGGCAGTTTTTCTAGATAATGATAACCTAGTTATTATAAGAAATTGAAATAAAAAACATATTTACAGATTTCAATATAAAAGCATATGCTTATATTTTTTAACTAAATAAAAAACCATTTTTAATTGATGAAAACTAAAATGTTGTATACTTTCTGTATACAAAGTCAAATAATTTTAGGTCAATGCATGTGAAGTAATTGTGTGGTTAGCTAAATCTCACTAAACACTCCATTACTATGAATTAAAAACACAATGGAGTTTGATGATGAAAATATCTAGGATTCTAAGCTGTTGTAATAACTGAATATCCTACTGCCATTTCTTGTTTCATTCTTTCTTACTAACAAAAAGGGAATGTATGTGGGAGAATGGACCTCAAATTAACTCACTCTACTAATAAACAAAATAAAAGTATTGCATTGTGGTTTAAATGACATAAAATACTAATATATTGTTTTTGCAATTTCAATCAACATTTGAGAAAACTGACATTTACTCACATCACGGTATACTTTGTTTACCACAACCAAGGCTAACTTTTTTCGATTTTGCAGAAGGTTTTCCACAAAAATTAATTTGTCCAGTGTGTTAAATACAGTTTGAACCAAAAAATCTTTTGGAATCTTTGAAGGTCCTACACCAGGGATGAAAATGTGGACAGCTTCATAGCTAGCTGAGTCCATTAGGCACTGTCTCAATGAGCATTCTATATGCTGAAAAAGAAATAAAACTGCTGAAACTACTTCCTTATGTCTATGTTGATCAGGCTTATAATGTAAACCCCTTTGTAAAGTATTACTGTAATTATTATTGCACTCAAAAACTCTACAATAGAACATGTTTAAAAGGGAGAAAAATGTTAATTCCTATTTTCTTTCTGAATCCAGTTTATTTTTGCTGTGGAAATGCTCTAGCAAATGAAAATGGTATGTGTAACATGTTTACATGAGCTATCTAAACAGGCTGCAAAATTTGACAGTAGGACAACTTTGTCCAAAATTAGGAAAGCTAAAAAGTAAACAAAATGTTTAGTTTCCTGAATAGTTAACTCATATTCACTATTGCTTATTAATAAAAAAAAAACTAGCTTATACTTAAAACAATTACTGTTCTAAAAAAGACACTATAAACATTCCAGTAAAATAAACAAGCAGCAGCTATAAGGAAGAAAATTAACAGCTGTGACTATTTAAGAAAAATGTCAAGAAAAGTACACAATTTTAAATCAGCTTTCCAGCTAGGCCTTATCATCCTGTCAACTAAAGAATCTAAGAAATCAATAAATAATGAGCAAATATCGTAATTATTTCTGCTATTTCAACCTGTATTGATCTTAAGTCTTTAAATTTAAATAAAATTTATCTAGCCACTAAAATGATACCACTTTGTTACATAAGCTACTCTAAAAACTATTTTAAAAACTTCCAGAAGCTACAGTAAAAAGGTTTATTGTCAACAACCAGTATGAAACAAAAATTAAATTTTTGCCTAAGCATAAACTCTTTTTTCTCTATGTAAAAGAAACAATAGTTTTAAAATTGTTACCTATGATTTAAATTGGTTACCTAATTGAAAATAAACACTTTGTGACTGGCTTATATTCGTTATTCATTACCTCTTTGCAATCCATTCCCCACTCAGGAAAACAGAATATCTGCAAATCTTTGCCAGAGTGAGTATTTTTTATGAAAGATTGCCCAATCAAAAGGCCATCTGGATTTGAACTTTGAATTTCTTTGATAACATTTTCCAACAGCTTATAAGAAAATGGTGTCTCATTGAAGTATGGACAAGTATTAGCTTCAAGACTTGGTAAAATTGGGTAGCACAATAAAGTCCTAAGATTCTAAGCAAAAGAAATAAATCCAGGTTTAAAAAATATTTTTAAAATGTAATAAAATGAAAATTTTACAAGAAAAAAATTAAAAAAAAAAAAAAACCTAACAAATATTTTTACTTTAGCTCATTTAATCCAAGACAAGCTATGCTTATATAGGCCTTTCCCACCATAAATGTATATAGTAAATAAGAGTTAAACAGGAATCAAAAGCTTTTAATAAACATTTACTGTGTGTTCCTGGTTACTCTCAATCACTTCTACTGTTGCCTGTAATTTACTATAATTTCTGTGAGAAACATTGGTTTCTGTAGATGTAGAAAACAAACATTTTATTTTATCTTATGGTGATACAGAAATTTATAAAATACATATATTTAACACAGATTGGAAACTTATTTAATTCTGATTAAAAACAAACAATTTTAATAACAGTAACATGGACTGATACATTTTTTGAAAATGAATTTTTGTTACAAAACGTTTCCTTAAATAATTAGTTTACAGAAAACTACTTTGTAAATCACACAATTTTAAAATGCCAGTTAATCCATTTGATTATGTTTACAAAAAAAGCTTCAAGATATACAAAATAAATAAATAATTTAAGAAAACTAAATGAAATAATTTTTAGTGGAATGGGACAAAGCTTGTTAAGTTTAAAAAACAAAACAACAGATATTTAATGACAAGATGATCAAGAATATTTAGGTGGCTTTATAAACAGTAGAAAGTAACAAAAACCATTTTAATATTAATTTCAGAATTTAGAACTAAATTTATGTTTACACAAACATAGTCAGAGATAATTTTTTTTTACTGTCTCTGATGCTTCATATGCAAGAACTCCACCATATTAGTCTTTGACTAGCTTTTCTTTTTCTATAATTTTTAAATTTACCCACCCCTAATCAGAAGTTTTCAAATAATTACTATAAACATCTGTAGACTATGTGGTCAAATTGTAGAGTCTATGGCTTCTAACCCAAAATTCTTAAATTCATATCCAGAGTCCACCTAGCTCTGATGGGTATCTAACTGGCATTAGACAACTAAAGGCAGCTTGGCAAAGTGCAGCAGACCACATTATCTCCTTGTTGGCCAAGGTGATTGAAACAGATGAACTCTACTTCTTCTGCACCATGTGTCTTCGGCACGAACGGGAAAAGATGATGCTGACTAAAAATGTAGAGCTCTAATATTATGTTATCTCCTGAATTTGACTATTGTTTTAAAATTTAAATCTTAAAGTTAGCATTTTCCATTTGTAAAGATAAATCGTAATTACCCAGAGGAACTATTTCCTTCCAACAATCTTCATCTGGCTGTGTGATATGAAAATTATTTTTTTTCAAATAATATATAAAAGCTTTGAAAACAGATTCACTTGTAGATTCACAAATAAAAATATCATATTTTTGGGAGCTTTGAGTTGATAATTTCGCTTCATTTGTCAGTGTGTTTAATACAATCAGAGTCTGCTCAATAATTGTCTCAGCAATAACATCTAGAGGAAATGGATAATCAGATGTAGATATCTGCGAAGTTGAAATGCCTATTTTAAAGCTGTGAGTATGAGAAGCTTGTTGGAACATGATACTGACATTGGTACTCAAACTCTCTCTCAAACTTTTACAGTTTGGGGCTTTCCAGTCAGGAAGATTAAAATGCAGATGTTTGCTGGAATTTTGTGATGCAAAGTTGCATTCATCATCTGAAAATGAATTCACTTTCTTTTAAATCAAATATATAAACATCAAATGATAGATTGTAGTAAACAAGTTTAAAATTTAAAAAATAATATTTCAAAATACCTTTTTTTGATGGAAGAAATTCAATTCTCATATTTAAATTTTCCATTTTCCTAAAGATCCCTTGAACTAAGTGAAAATGAACTCTATTGGACTTTGCAGTTTTCAAGATAACTGATTTATAGTCAAGCCTTGAATAATCAGTTCTGGCAATTCCAATTTCTTGAAATTTTGAGAACTCATCTTTTATTCCTGGAAACTGAATGTAACACTCATATTTATTCGAAAAAAAATCAATTTCTTGCTGACCAGTTTCTGATTCAATAAAATCTTTCATTCCAGGAAATGTAACACTTTTTTTTCTGGATAAAACTTTAGACAATAGATCACGTATTTTTTCCTTTATCAATGCAAGATGTATGTCACATGTATAAATTATTTCAATTTTATATTGACCAAAAACAATCACTGCCTTTTCAGTTGCACATTTTTGCAAATTCAATATATCATTTTGAAGAAATGTTTTGGTGTAGGTTAGTATGTCAGGTTGAGAATCCACAACATATATTTTTGGCTCACAGTTAGCTTGAACATCATAAGTTATTGAAGAGGAATTAAAGCAATTATTTATATCTGTAGGATTTTTAGTGCTAATCATGTGGTTTATTTTTTTTGCTTCATCTTCATTATATCCAAGAAAGGCAAAAAGTGTCAGTGTTCTTTCTTCAGCAGATATGTGAAAAGATTGAAACTTGGCATTGATATTATTTACTAATTCTTCCAAACAAGGTGTTGTTAAATTTTCTTGATTTTTAAAAGCATATGTAGCTTTTTTAATCACTAATTTAGCAGCAAAATTTTCTAAAGAATCCTGAAAAACAGGTTTTGTATTATTCAAAAAGAGCAAAGAATATTCAGTTTCTTTAAAAAATGTATAACTTATATGACAGAGAAATTATTTAAAATTAAAAGTGAGGAGAATAAAATGTTGAAATAATAAACAATATCTTCAATTTGTATATAATGAACTTTTGTTTCATAGAGGCAAACTATTATCTTACAATGGAGGAAATTTTTATGATACTTTATTTGATAATCTGACATATTTTGAGTGAAAGCTCCTATTCATATCAAAATTATAACCTAACTGAATAATTCCAACCTGTTTGCCATTTTTATCTTTGATGATCATTTTTAGACTGTCAGCAGGACTGATTACAATATGATAACCAAACAGGTCCACAACTGCCTTCATCTGATGCAAGACTTTTTTATTTCCAAGCAGTACATCCTCATAGAAATCCTCAGGAACCTACACATTTTAAAATAAATTACATATCATGAGGAAATATTTTTTTTAAATTTTGTATTGCAATGGTAGGACAAGACAGCAAATAACACTTTTAATTCTAAAAGGGGCCACCCATCATTTGAATGAATAAAACATTTTTTTACCACTATTGTTTTGATAAGCAGACATACTTTTCAATGTTTAACAATTTCATAAAATTTAAATAGGCATACACTGTATTAAAATATTTAACCGTGATTTAAGACATCAAAGTCTGGTCCTATGAATGATGTTGACAACTATAAACTGAATATACAGTCTAGTATGTCAAGGTCACAGAAACAAGTGAATTCTACTTCACTTGCCCTATAGACCATCAGGTTTGAAAAGGGAACTTTACTTTTTTTTTACAGTCTGGTAGATTTGTATACAACTTTGATGTATGGACTTTCAATGGTCATGGGGCAAGAACTGATATTTTAATGTTACCATTAACAATGATGGAGATTAAAATGGGGGCACAAGCTAACTTTGATACAAATAAATGTATTATTATCTACAGTACAAATATTTTATAATTTTTAATTAGCAAAATATCTAAAGTACTGAAGTTTCCCATGTATATATATATTTTATATATATATATATATATATATATATATATATATATATATATATATATCATCTATATATATAAAAAGCAATGTATGTGTGTTTGTCTGTCTGTCTGTCCTTTATGCATGACTACACCTCTCATCACATCGCTGTGAAACTTTGGGAAGTTGTTGTGAATATTCATGGGGAGGTATCTGCGAAAAAAACATTTTCAAATTCGTAGGGGTGGCGCCCCGCCAAGGGCGCAATTTGTTTTTCTCTATATACGGTATATAAAAATAAAAGTCGATTTTGGTTTGGCATCGTTCATCCGATAGCCATGAGACTTTGGGGAGTTCATTATACCACTCTAGGGAAGAGTTCTGTAAAAAAACAATTTTTAATTTCGCAAGGGCGGCGCCACGGGAGGCTGCGATTTTTCTCTATATACGGTATATAAAAATAAAAGTCGATTTTGGTGTGACACGTTATCCGATAGCCATGAGACTTTGGGGGAGTTGATTAGAACAATTCAGGGAAGGGTTCTGTAAAAAAAAAATCCTTTTTTAATTTCACAAGGGCGGCGCCACGGGAGGCTGCGATTTTTCTCTATATACGGTTTATAAAAATAAGTCTATTTTGGTTTCACACCGTTCATCCGTGTACAATGAAACTTTGGGGAGATGATTAGATCACTCAATGGTAGGGTTCTGCAAAAAAATATTGTTTAATATTGCAAGGGCGGCGCCCCCCGGGGGGGGGGGGGGGAACGATTTTTTTTCTCTATATACGGTATATAAAAAATAAAACTCAGATGCGGTTCATCCGAGTGCCATGAAACTTTAGGGAGTAGATGAGAATACTCCCAAGCATATTTCTGCGAAAAAGAAAACTAAAGTTTCTTATGGGCGGTGCCATATAGGGTACAACTTTCGTCAATACACGGTTTGGAGCCAAGAGTTTTAGAGTGACGATGTTGGCACTTGGCATCCGTTAATCGAGCGTCCTGCATAGCGAGTAAGGGGTACTACTATATTCAGCGGTAAAACTACAACAGGCTTCTAAATATAACTTTGTAACGCAAGGAAATCCTTCTGTACAGTTTCGTCACCTTGCCAAAGATGAAAAAATAACTTTTTGAATATGAGGAGCCTACTGTAGAGTTTCGTCACTTTGCGAATGATGCAATAAGCATCTATTATTAGACAATCCAGTCAGAAATTGAGATCAAGCATCTAATAAAAGACCATTAGTAACGCTAGCATATTGATCAGTCACACTGATGTTTAAAAGACGTCAAATACTTTTTTACGTGTTAAAGAAAAAAATCCTGTTCATTTGTGTCACTTTAGCGAATGGTGAAATCAGCATCATTATTACCAGGATGCTATTAGGCACGATGGCGCCTGTTAGTTTTAAGGAGCCAGGGGTCGTACGCCGCGCCTATGCGGTAGTGTAATCGGGGGGTGGGGGCCCTGAGAGCGCCCGTCTACGTCTCTAACACATGGGCGGTCACCGAAGTGTGTTCTACCATATTATTTCGGTGAGTGATTAATGTACATTCAATGTTTTCATGCGGTAGTGTAGGTAAACCCGTGTCCCGATATTTATGATCCAAGTGCAGGCATTATTTACATTTAAATAACTCACTTTTAGAAAAGACGGTCACGCGTCTTAGAACATATGATTGGTAACGCGTTGCTGAAATCCTTCTAATATATTTCGTCAAACTTTTTTCTATCCCTGCGGCAACGCGCGGGGGACGGGTACGCTAGTGTGTATATATATATATATATATACACACAAACATTTAGGCCTATATGTGCATATATTTCTATCTCTTTTTCTATATTGCCCTATACCAGGGGTCTCCAAACTTTTCAGTCCGAGGGCCGCATTAACTATCAAATTTCAGTTCGGGGGCCAGTTTCTTCCAGGCATGTCTTTGATTTTTTTGGGCAAAGTTTCTCCGCCATCACCAACAAGCGGTTTTTCCATGGACAAAAAGATCTCCGCGGGCCGGATGAGAGGACATCGCGGGCCGCATACGGCCCGTGGGCCGTAGTTTGGAGACCCCTGCCCTATACAATACACCCCAAAAGTTTGACAGCTAAAATTAATTCAGTGACTTCCAGGAACCAGTATATAGTGGTTTGGTCTAGAATTACACTGGAATCCATTTGTAATGAACCAATACAATCGATTATTTCAATGCTTACAACAGGTTACTAAGCTTACAGAAAAATCAAATGTAATACAATGAGATTTAATATCAGAAAAAGCAATTCATAGTGCTTAATAGTGATTTTAAATGTTTAAATTACCTGTTCAGCATTTTCATTAATGATTTTCTTTATCATATCAATCTGCTCAATATAACCATAGACATAAATATCTAAAGCTTCAATATCTATTACAATTGAAGAATCTGGGAACACCTTCTCGGCAGCTTGAACAAATTTTAAAGCATCAAGCAAAAATATATAGAACTTGTTTCGATTACAAATTGTTCTTTTTACTTTCTTAAATAAAATTTTTTTTATCTTTCTAGTGACATCAATCACAGTGTCTTCAGATTTGTTCAATACAGTGAGTAGTACAATATTGCAATCATCAATTACAAGCTGCATGTATGGCACTTTACTGTTGAAGTCATCAATGTATTTCAACAGGTCTTTTCTCATGGCATGGTCTTTGTTTGGTAAGAGTAAACAATTTGTTTCAAACACAATCTGAGACAGAAATTCTTGTAAAGAAACCTGCACAAGAAAAACAATATATGTGAATATACACAGGGTATATATATATATATATATATATATATATATATATATATATATATATACATATATATATATATATATATATATATAAATTTATTAATTTATCTTGGGAGGAGGAATTGGGGGGGGGGGGGGGTGAAGTGAGCCACAGATAACTATTGTAATGGGTGGAAGGGTTGGGGGGTAAGGATGGTAAAAATAGGCTAAAATATGATATGTCATTATTTATGGTTGAGTTCCTAATCTGCTTTGTCTATAAAACCTTGTTTTTAAATAACACTTAAGCAAAGTATTCAAAAAAATTAGTGTGTCAAAATTATAAAATATTTCAGATATTATTTTATATTTCTCGCTGTAATTCTGTTAATAAGGGACGAGATTATTTAAATACACAACCTGATTTCCTTTATTATTGACAACAGTCAAGTAAAAATCTTCAACATTGTTGACAACTAGATGACAGCCATTGTTTTCAATAAATATTTTAATCTGCTCTTGTACTTCTTTAGATTCAAGAAATTTCTTGCTTACTTGTGAATTTGTAAACTGCAATAAAATATAAAATACCTATGTAGTAACTAATACTTACCAAAAGCACATTGATGTGTATTGATGATCAATATATACAATTATGATTTCAATGATAAATTAAATATTTTGTTTGGAAAAAAATAACATAAAATGAAAACAAAACAAAGATTACTTGTTTCGCCATTATACAAAAATGCATAGGTTGTTTTTTTTATATGATAAATGAATTTACATAATCAAAATTTCAAAACCTACCTTCAATGTTTTTTCTAATAATTGTTTATTTATCCTTTTCATAACAGAGGCTGATTCCTTTTTCTTAACAGATGTTGCTCCTTTAATTTCAACTTCATTATCTTTAAATATAACTTCAATCAAAGAGTTTAATTTATTTTGTTTTAAAATATCTTGAAAGTTTAAAAATGTAAGAATTTTAGGTATTATTTTTTGCTCATAAATAATGTATGTCGAAGTAGAATCTGAACTTGTTACATTTTCTTCTGTCTCATTTATAATCAATGTATTATTTTTATTGGTATTATCAGCAGATGACATTTCACAAGTGTACATTGCCAGTTGTTCAGAACAGGAATCCTTGCTTTTTATTGCTAAACCGTCACTATCCTGTGAAGTTTGTTCTGATTCAAACTCATCCATTGTCGCAATTGTTTCCATCTCTAATCTTTTATATTGCTCGTCAAAAGGCTCTTGGAAACAGGTAAAATGAGGAATTACTGTCCATTTTGTATTTTCTATCTCCCAGATCTTGTTGCAGATGGTCAATACAGTTTCTGCATCAGAATTAGCATAAGAAAAAACACTTATTTACATAAAATTATGCTTATCTTATTTTAATTTTTTCTATATTTTATAGTCTCATGGCACATTATTATCAAATCTATCTACACTTTCATATAAGCAATTACAAATGTACTAAAGTATTATATTTAGAACATTGTAAAATAACAATATGGCAGTAATAAAGACTCATGAAGACATAAAAGAAAAAGCTAGACCAATAATTCCGCATTATTTTGGTCCCATTGTGCAACGAAATTTTTGTAGGACAAAAATTTTAACAACTTACGCCAGCCTTTTTCAAATGAAACCTCAAAGCAGTCGTCATCTATTCTTCTTATAGTGTATTGAAACTTTTTTGTTGGAAACATCAAATTTAATTTGTCCTTAGCAGCATTTTTTAAAGTTCCATAAGCACGAATGAAGATGTTGTTTATGGGCTGAATAAGCTCCCCTTTCATATTAAATTTTGTTAACTTCAATAATTCACATACTTCTGTTGAAACAACAAATTAAAAAAGAAACATTAATGAAGTTTAAGATTTACTGAACTGACATTGTTTAATATATCATAAGAATATTTAAACTAGCTAGATCTATATTTAAGTTAAAAGCATAAAACTAATGATTTTTTAAAATAATTTTTAAACATTTTTATTTCATGTAGCCTACACACATTTTTTATTTACTTGCTAAATAAAAAAAAAATAAGACAATCAAAATACATAAAATAATTTTAACATAATCATACCTAATTTGTTTTCAAAATGTACCACAGCCCTGCATTCTCTATTAGGATCTATCCAGAGATTCAGAACATGTTTATCTGGGAATAACTCTGTAATTAACTTTTGAAGTTTAGGAGCTGTGCATTCATTTGAAAACCCAAGAAATAACATCAAATTTGCCATTCTTAATGATTCCTGAAAATGAGTGAAAAAAATGAAGTCAGAGGGTTTTTTTTACAATTTTGTTCAGAATGTCAATAAAAGTAGCAGCATCACCAGATGAGCTGGTTAAACTAGCTGTTTCTATTATTTATAGAATAAGGTGTTAACTGGTAAAAAACAAATTAATACTTTAATTAAAATTGTATTTACACCCTTATTGTATTCCATTTTTTGTTGTAGGTAAAACAGCATGACAAATGCTTTAATAAATGTTTAAACAATGAAACTCAAAACCCTCCACTTCTATTTAAATATTCTTAGGTGTCATCCATTTGGAATTTTAGACCCCCTCCCAACAAAAGTGGATGTCCACAAAATTTAGTATACCTCTCTAAACAGGCTTAAAAATTACTAATACATTAAAATGTAACATGCACCTTGCTTAATTATTAATTACTAAAGTAAAGTATGATTTGATATTTTCGGTAACATCTATTACTAGGCCTAAGTAATATTAAAAGTTGAGCCTAGAAAGTGTTGAAAAAAAAGTATATTTTAAATGACTTAGTATAAATTAGGCCCTATGAGATAAGTGATTGCTTTATTTTAAATGTTTCTGTCAATACCAAACAAAAACTCCAAAATATTAAACATTTGATTTTGTATTCAAAAGTATTTTACTGTTTTATATTATTAACAATATTTTTAAAAATTGAAGATGCTGTAGACCGAACATTTTAATGTCATTTGTAGCTGTCTATCTATTACCACTATATGGTTTAGGGTAAATTTGGCCAATCAACCGTGATGTCATTATATAAAATTTACTCAACTTTACGTTTCCTTCCCCCCTTTTTGTCAAAGTCACGCTGACCGTGAGTCATACACACCTGACCAAGCAAGCAAATTATACACAAGCTGATATTTAAATATCTAATTGTAACATGATTATTTTGAGTTTTTTTTACATTAAAAAATATATAGATCTGCGTCATCTTATCTCTCACTGGCATATCACTGCATGTTAATATGTTAAATCATTTAAAAGGCCTGTTACACATGGCTTAACAGGTGGAAGCACAATTACAGATTAGTACCACCCCTGTTTATGTACAAAGATATTAACTAAATTCAGAAGAAGTACTGTTCCCTATTACATACTAGTCATAACTATTCATTATAGGCTTCTATAAACAACCAGACTAGCAGCATTGGTTGGAGTGAAATTTGTTACATCTGATATCATTCGGAATTTTATAAATAGTTAACAGCATGTGTGGACTCAGCACAAACATTTAATGGTTATAAACTGAGTTTTTTATTGCGAAATTTCTTTAAACTAAGTACATTCTAGAGCTAATGTAACTTTTACTCTCAAGCAGAGGCGTATCCAGGTTTTCGGTGTAGGGGGAGCGGAAATTCCTACACATCGAAGAAATAAAAAAAAAAACAATGTAGGCCGACGAAACAAAAAAAAAGGTTTCACTGTAAAAAAAAATAATTATATATATATATATATATATATACATATAAACACACTACAACCAAAAACAATGAACGCTGCATAATCTGTTTCGTAATCATTGTAAAAAAATTACATAATAATTCCTGGGACATCTATTAAGACTAGAGAAAAGGGGAAATAATCAATATCTTAATGTAAATATGTATATGTCTACACATTTTATTACAAATATCAAAACAAATGAATAATTACTTTAGTATCTAATAAAGTAGCTTAACACTATTCGTTTTTCCAAAACTATTTTGTCTACAATCAGAATTAAATAAATTGTCTTCATAAATGCTAAAGTATTACAGCATAATGAAAGTTTTTTTAAAAATCAGAGTTGGTATAAAAGCCAGCTTTTCAACGTAGTAATTAAACATTCGGAATAATAGCCTACATATAACTAAAATATCAGTCTTACATTTCAGATTATGCACTTTTAATTAGCTACTGACTTTTTGTGTTCTTTAAAGATAATATTTTGACATAATGAGAAGGCATGGGTTAGATCACACACCTTTTACTGGTAATTGCAAAAACAATATTCAGAGATTTACGTTTCAAATGTGCTGACCAAAGATAATTTTTTAACAAATATCAATGTTTAAAACTTTGAGTTTAAAAAGTTTCCAAAAAGGCGCCATACTTTGCTAAAATTGCCAGAGGGGGAGCGGCCGCTCCCCCTGCTCCCCCCCTGCGTACGCTACTGATCTCAAGGTTCCTTATGCTCTAAATATACTCTGTGGCCTGGCTGTAAATATTTAAGCCTATTATCAAATTAATTATTATTAAACTAATTGAAACTAGATCTAAATTTCAATGATCTTGTTATGATTTTCACAATGTGTGAGGTCTGTTAAAAAAAGATTAAGTACCATTTTGAATCTGATGTACCTTGAGGCAGGTGAAGCAGAGTTCACCTGTTTCAGTGACCTCTGTCT